AAGACCAGGGCGGGGAAACGGGCGCCACTTATCTCTTGCATCTCTTACTCCAGGGGGTCAGCATCCAAAAGCTTGTGGGAAATGGAATGAAGACAGCATCACATTTTCCAACCAAGTCTTTGAAGGCCCCGGTAAGCAAGGAAACATGCGGAGTCGCTTGGAGGCAACCACGGGAGGTTGGAGACACACTCCCAAGCCCTGCCACAGCCTGGCCACACCAGCGCAGTGCCCAGGAAGGCAACACGGACGCTGACGTGCAGCTGTAAAACAGTCAATCCCAAAGGAGGCACAAAATGCACAGAGCGGACAAGACCCGCAGAAAACAAACAGCAAATGGTCTAAGCGTCTCATCACAAGACAGATGGTCGGGTGGGATGACAAGTGAGTTGCCTGAAAGACACTCACTTCAACATCAGAGACACAGAGCAAACAACTTTGCTGGCATCAGAGAGGAAGAGGATGTAGCGTCTGGAGGAGAGAGCAGCAGCACACGCCTATTACATGGGAGAAGGTTTCTGTGCCCTCCTCCCACCGACCGACCACCCAGCAGACCACAGCGCTCAACAGGCTAACCGGCAGGGCAATGCCACCGTGACCGGCGGGAGTGTAACCAATCGGCAGGGCCTACACAGAGGAGCGGCCGGCACAGCTGAATGTCGGGTGAGAGCTCCACAGGCCGGCTGGCGGGAAGGGGCACCAGCGCAGCAGCACCAAGCCCGCCATTACCAGGTCTTTCTGGATGGAGAGAATCCGGCTCCGGGCAGCTTCGCAGTTGGCCCGCTTGCCTGTGATGACAATGGTCTCGGAGTTGCTGTTCTCGGCTGGAAGGTCAATCTTGGTGTTGCTCTCTTCTCGTATCTACGAGAAGAGAAAGGAGCCAACGTCCCATGACTGAGTTGCAGAGAGGAAGGGTGCTTCTTCAAACGGAAACTCCGGGGTGCTGGGCCCAGGAGCAGAGGCTGGCGGAGCCATCACCTTTTTAATGTTGGCGCCTCCTTTCCCAATGATGTTCTTGTGAAACTGCTTGAAGATCGGGACGGAGATGGAATAGCTGTTTTCCACCTTAAAGCAAACACACAGAGTGCCTTAGCCACTCCTGCTGTGGTGAGTGCATGCGTGCAGCCTCCGGGGTCATGTCACAAGGCCATTGGTGATGCGCTGGTCTCGGGCCCATCTCCCCTCTCCCCCACCCCATAGTCGGTCCCGGGAGTCTGTCAGACAACTTGCCCAATGACCCACAGGCCATCGATTCAGCACATCAGGGAGTAGAGTCCAGGCTGGCCACAGGACACCGGTGAGGCATGCCTGGGACTGAGGCAGGAGCAGACCGCAGCGGCCCTACTCAGTGGGGCTCTGGGACGCATAGGCTGTCTGCTGCCTGCCCTCCAACTCCCGCATGCTCTAAGGCAAGCCGCCGTTTACTACAGCGCTGGGTCTGTCACCTTGGGTGGGGGCCCTCTCACCCAGTCAGCTGCCAGGCAAGTACGAGTGTGCCGTTCTGAAGGGGCCACTGTGGCCTGTGCAGAACCCAGGCTGGCCCAGGTCAGGGAGCCTGCCCGCCCACCCTTCCTAACAGGTCAGCCAGAATTACGGTGTCGGCCTGCCCTTCCTACCAGGTCAGCCACCATCTTCTGCATGTACTTGGTGCATTTCTCCACCTCGTTCTTGGGCCCTCGGAGCTGGACGATGTCACTCTTTTGTGCAGGGTCTGGGAAGTTGATAATAACCTGGAACAGAGCACCACAGGCCCCGGGCACCGTTGACTCCTCAGGCCGCATAGTCACGGCACCAGATGCCACCCTGAGTCCTGTCCCCTCGAGGCCACATGGCCCAAGGTTACCTCTGGGAACTTGTCACGAATCTCGCGGATGCGCTCGCCCTTCTGCCCGATGATGGTGCGGTGGAACCTCTGCTCAATGAGCAGGTCCTTGGTGCGCTCGTTCTCCTGAAACACAGGCATGGAGGTTGCACGTCCCGGCTAGGTGGGCGGCTCCCCTCCTGCTGATGCGATGGTGCCCAGGGGCTGGGCACTGCCCAGACAAGACAGACTCCTTAAGCACGCCGAGCCCCCGTGATTAGATTCCTATTCTCTCGTCAACATCTTCTCACCCACCCACCCAATGGGATGCTGACATTGAACACAGTCCAGCACAGGCCCGTACCAGGATCTAGTTTCAGGGCCCAGTGCCAGAACCCAGGGCAAGGACCCAGTGTCAAGCAACAACTGGGAACCCATCAGTGAGGGCAAGACATGGGACCTCTGGCCAGTGCCCAGTGCATTGGGCAGAGAGCAAGCTTCCGTGGACACACCACCGGGCCGCCTCCTTGTGTGGAGGATTAGAGAAGGCCCACAGAGCCTGTCAGAAGTGGCAGGATTACAGAAGAACTAGCTGAGCTGAAAAGTGAAAGCCAGGCAGTAGGATGTTTCCACAAATTCTGGGGGACCCTGGATTGGACTGACAGAATGAAGGTTCGAAACCAGTCACACCACTCCCCGCCAGGGGAGACTGAGCAGCAGGGTCATGGCCAGCAATGGCCAGGGAGTCGGGAAAAGCAGGCCAGCGCCCACTTCCGCAAGAACACGAAGTGGCTCTGTGACGCGGAGCCCCAAGTGGGCAAGGGACGGAAGCGGGACACCTCCACCTTGGCAGGGAGCAGTGTCTTGAGTGCTGTGCCTAGCCCCAGCTCCATGATCCTCCTCTTGCCTAGGGGCGTCAGCTGCATGGCAGCACTTCCTAGCCTGGACCTTGAGACACCTCAGTGAGTCTGGCTGGCCATCCAGGACAGAGAAAGGCCTCCAGCAAGCCCGGTGGTCCCATGAGCAGCCGGGTGCCTACACCCCGCCCACCCACCTCGTGCCCGGCTCACTCACCATGCGTGAGGCGAGCTCCAGCAGCTCCCGCTTGGCCTGCTGCACGCCCTGAGGGTCGCCCTCAATTCGGATCAGGTTGCTCTTCTCGCTGTCAGGCGGGATGCGCACAGACACCTTGTACTGGTCCTTGATCCTGTTGACTGGGGAGCAAGATGGAAGTCGTGTGGCCACAGCAAGGACACCAATCCCAGACACCAGGCGCACCCACTGCCACTGCCCCATGATGCGGAGCAGGCCTCCCTGCCAGGGTGCTAGAGCAAGGCTCTGTCTGGGAACCTCACGCTTTGCTTCCCGGCCAGACCCTCCTGGGCAGCCCGCCTGCCCACCCGCTGCAGAGGCCAGACCCCAGGTGTCCTTCCTGGGCAGCCAGCTGTGCATGGCAAACACCACGCTCTAAACAAAGGAGACCACTAAACCCGAGGCCGTCATGCGGTGCGGCAGTGTGGACGAGGTGCTCAGCAAGCAGACCACCAGCCTCCCTTAGTTCAGTGCAGTCACGTGTCTATCCATGCATCCTGACCACACATGTGATCAGTCTCAGACGGAGGTGCAGGACTCATCCATTCCTGTGCCGCTGGCTTTCCAGACGGGAACAACGGTCACAGTCCCAGGCTCCCTCGGACACCTGCAGACGCGAGCCTAGCATCTGTGCTCAGTCCTCTCGCTTGGCACGGTGCGGCTGTCTGACTGGCATGGCCAGCACCCGTCCAGCTCGGCTCACTCAGGCCAAGGATGTGGCTCCATCTCATTCCCTATAGCTTCTGACAGTACTGGAGTCACACCTCCCGATTCTTCTCGTTTGGCGCTGGAGGAAGATCTTACAAGCCGGCATTAGCATTTCCAAGGTCCCTCAAGCAGAGTGCCTCCCAACCGGAGGCTATTTGGAAGGTTTCTAGGGGCGAACAGCTTGGAAGTAGACCACCCATGCTCCCACTTTGTAGGCTGGAAGCCCCACCCAAGCCTGTTCCCCATAGCTGGCTCTGCTGCTGTTTCAAAATGCCGGTTACACAGCCTCCAGCATCACAGCCAGTGTGACCCACAGAGACAGACGGACAAGCGGTGCCCCTGGCTCCACAAGCACCACTCGAGGGGCAAAAGCAGCAGGAAACTGGGTCAGGACTGACCGGGTGGGTCGCCCCCCCGACCTGGGTTCACTCACTGTTGGCTCCGCTCTTGCCAATAAGGTGTCTGTGAAACTTGTGGTCAATGTTGATCTCCACGTAGTCCATCCGGTGAATCTGTAGCAAGAGCACGTGGTGTCGGGGGTGTGGTGTGACTGGCCACATACACAAAGGTGGCCCAAAGCGTGGCTACGCGCTGTCTTCTGCAGCCTCCTGGCTCAGGATCACCCCATGCACTCCCTCCCTGGCCCTTCTTCAGAATACGTCTCCACTCGCTACCGATGGCACTATCAGAGAGGGTGGCCAGTCCCTAACTGTCCGAGAGCGTGTCTGCCCCTGGCTCAGGAGTCACCCTGATGCACCGACAGGAAACATGGCCCACAACGGGTCCCAGAACTCACCAAGTCTTTGACCATGGCTTCGATTTGTCCCTGGGCCACAGTCACGTCCTCCGTGGGACCCTCCAGTGTGATCCTGTCCTCGCCTTCAGTGAATTCTATGTGAACCTGCCGGCATCACAAAAGGGCGGGGCAGTCAGACCAGGGACAGTGAGGTGGCGCCCATTCACGTGCACACCCAGCCAGGAAGACAACAAGTTCAGGACATGGCCGCTGCCACTAGTGGAAAGCTGCCCGTCAGCAGTGACAGCAGTGGGACCAGACACGAGCCAGAGGAGGAACTGGAAAGTCTCTGGGGCACAAGGGTGAAGGAGAACATGAATGAATGGTGTGGGGATGTGTCCACTGACCATCCTCCTCCTCCTCCCTGGGAAAGACCCTGCACGGAGGCAGAGGACACGCACTGGACACCAGGCTGCCCACGAGGCCTGTTCCTGGCAAGCTGCTCAGAGCTCTGACACCACAGCCCAACTGGGCGCGCTGGCCAAGGTTCCGTCAGACGTGGGCGTGAGGGCTTGCCTTTGGCATCTGCTGTGTGACCTTGGCCAGGTTCTGCCCCTTCTTGCCAATGATGAAGCGGTGCAGCCAGGAGGGGGCAGAGACTGAGGACACGGAGAAGCTGTTGGCCTGTGGAAAAGGGAAGCAAACGTGTGGCGGGGCCTGCCGGCTGCTCAGGCTCACAGGCCAGCCAGGCTCCCTGCCAGCTCACCTTGGCATAGACTTCCGTCAGCGCCTGGCCCAGCTTCTCAGGCTCGCCACGGAGGATGACCGTCTCCGAAGCGCTGTCCGAGGGGGGGATCTCCACGGACACCCCTGTCCGCTCCAGAATCTCCTGCAGAGAGTTGCCTTTGGGCCCGATGACGTACTTGTGCTGCGACTTCTTGACCTCCACAGCGATGGTCGTGGTCTTCTTTTTCTGGGTGGGGCCACGGGACAGTCAGGGGCCAGCAGATGGGCAAGCCCGTGAGCCCCCACCCCCACCCCCGCCGGCGTGAGCACCTTCTCCTCGTACACCTTCCTGATGCGCGCCACCGCCTGTGCCAGCTGCTCCTTCTCCCCGGTGAGGACGATCTCAGAGCGGCCCACACTGGGTGGTGGGATGTTGATGCGCGTGCCCGTCTCCTGCATGATCTCGCTCACCAGGCGGTTGTAGGGCCCGGCGATGAAGGGGTGGAAGGCCTTCTCCACCTCCAGCCGCTCCACCGCTCGCTTGTCCTGGGAGGGAGTGCCAAGTGAGATGGTGGTGCCCATCCAGGGCCCGGGTGGGCAGCCCCCGTGCACCTAGCAGCCGGTGCCTGCTCAGTGTGCATGAGCAGGACCTCATGCCCCACCCGAGTCACCTGCTCGGCGGAGATAAGCAAGACCTCGTGGCGGGCCTTCTCAATGCCCTCTTTGGTGCCCGTGATCCTGATGAGGCTGCTGGGGTCATCAGGCCGCGGGATCTGGATCTTGGTGGCCGTCTTCAGCTCCAGGTCCTGCAACTTCTCCCCGTTCTTGCCGATCACGAAGCGGTGGTGCTCCTTGGGAATGGCGACAGTCGCCGAGGCCTAGGACACAGTGCCACACTCACCAGGGCTGCTGTGTGCACCATGGGTGAGTGGGGGGGCTGGGGGGGGCACTGCACCCATACCCACACACCCAGGGGCCCCGGCTGCTCCTCGGCCCTGGCCGTGCAAAAAGCTGTGCCCCCCACCCCCCACCATCTTCATCAGAGACAAACCTTTCAGCCAGTGAAGGCAACACCTTGTCCCAGGAAAGGTGACAGATACTCAGGTGCCCAGGGGAAGAGCCCAAGGACGACCATCCACCTGTCTGCCTGCCCACCCTGAGCCTGGGCTCCACAACACAGCACTCCTGCGCCTTCCCAAGGGACACACGTCAGAACCACCACAAAGGAAGCAGCCAGCCACCCGACGACAGACAGCCTCTGACGAGACCCCTCCCCAACCCTGAGGACAAACCGAAGGCTTCCCCCAAGGAGCAACACCGGGAGTCCCCATGGGCGCAGTTCTCTCAGGGCAATCAAGGCATTAGCAGCCCCAGCCCACATTCACTCCTGAGGACTGTCTAACCCTGGCAGGGCCAACCCACGCTAGAAGGGCATCTCCGGGCGAGGCATAGACACGGCTTTCCGATGTCTGCGACTGGGGGCATTGCTGCCACCCCATCCTGTGACATAATGGGCACGCTGGCACAGAGCCGGGCACAGGAGGCCCCTGTGGGCACCAGGAGCATCTAAAAGGGTCTGTGTGCAGTCACCCAGGGCCAGAGGCCCTGGATGTGAGCTGAATCAGATGCAGCCACACAGTGCCCTTCTCGGCAGGACACAAAGCTTAGCGAGGGCCCTGGGGTCAAGGCCACACTCCCTTCCGCTGCAGACATCAAGGCAGGAAAGCATGGTCACCGCCCCGAGCACTGGGGGCTCCCCGTGATCCTGTGGGACCTCAGAGAACCACTCCCAACTATCCAAGACGTGTTCTTTACAGGAGACAACCTCATCTTTCTCTTATGAACTGGCTGGTGGACTTGAACCACTGACCTGATGGTTGGCAGCCCAAATACGGGGTTGGAAGCAGCTCAGATCAAACCTCAAGATATCAAGCCCCGAATGCTATGTGCCAGCGAGTGGAAGGTGGGCGGCTCAAGCCCGGGAACCCACAATGTAGGGCTTCTGTTAAAGAATATAATCAGAAGCCACTTAAAGTTGGACAGACGGGACAGTGGAGACAGACTACTGCCAGTCACAGGGACACTCAGGGCCAACCAAGGGCCTGTGAGGACCCTCTCCATCATTGACCCTCACAGAAGCGCAGGCTGGGCAGACACAGACGGCACAAGTACGACAGCCTAAAGCCTGAGTGGTCCAGCTCCCTGGCGCAAGAGAGTCAGGGGCCCTGCCCAGGCCACACAGTCCAGTTAGAGACAGAAGGTGCATGTTCACCCTGAGGTCTGGTTCCTACCTGTAGCATTTCTGATCAGATCCCACCTCCTGAGAGGCCCAGATTCAGGTCCGGTGGAAGGAGCCCCTGAGCACCCTACAGGTTACTAAGATGCTGGTCCTGGCAGGAGGTAGCACCCCGGCTGGTCTTCCTACAGTGGTCACAGGTAGATGCTGGCCTGCAACCAGAGCTCAGGGGCTGCTTTATGACCCTCAATCTGGAATGGAGGCTCCCAGGGAAGGGCTAGCAAACCTGTGGAGCTGGCCACCTGGACTGGCCCTAGCAGCCCAGCTCCCAAGGAAGCACCTCATGTGCAGGGACAAGCCTGTCTCTTTTAGTCCAGCCACACGGAGAGCACCAGGGGAGGAGTTCCAGCAGGATCTGGGGGCCACAGCAAGGCAGTGTCAGAGTGCGGGGTGCAGAGCACACCCACCTGAGTCTGCAGCCTGGCGACAATGTCCTTCCGGGCCTTCATGACGGCGTCCAGCTTTCCCGAGACCATGATGGAGAGGCCCTGGTCCTTGGCGAGGGAGAGCTCCAGGTGGGCACCAGTGCGCTGCATGATCTCCAGGCAGATCTTGGCCTGCTCGCCTTCTCCAAACTGGTTCATGTCCTTGTACTTCCTCTCCTCCAGGGGCACGTGAAACACCTGCTCAGACCGACACACAGGCAGAGGTATGGGCTGGAAACTGGGAGACAGCCCTCGGTCCACAAAGAGCAAGGGACACAAGAGTCTGGGAAGGGGGGTGGGGGGAGGCTGAGCATGGTCAGAGTGTGCGCCCTGAAGAGAGGGTGCTCCAGGGCACAGTTGGCCTAGCCCCGAGGCTCCTAGAGAGCAGGGTGCCAGCTTTTTTGGCAACTTCTGAGCCCGTATCAATGCTGGCTGCTCTGAGGGACCGAGAAGGGTCTGGGTCCTGTCTAGAACTACAAAAATGGAAGTGGCGCCATCATGAGGCTGGCAGGTGGCACAGGGGACACCGAGTGTGGGTGAGGATGTGAAGACCAAGGGGCCTGAGGTGGTACTCAAGGCTGCCTACAGGAACCAAGACTTGGGCAGACAGCCAGGTCAGACTCGCAGAGCAGAATGCCCTGGGATGATGGGCCCACAGGTGGGAACCCAGGGAAGGTACCGGCTCAACAGGTACTTCCTGGGAAGGTACCAGGTGCCAGGCCCTCCCAGGAGCAGGAGACACCATGCTCTCAAGGGCTGCAGGCTGAAGCTGTCCCTGCTGCCCACCTGAGTGATGACAGAGGCCTTGATGGGCCGGATCTTGCTGCCCCAGGCCCCGGCGGGCTCCTGGGCATTCTCCAGGCAGGCTGCCTTCTCAGGGAGGGGAGGGAAGGCATCCTTGTAGGTTGGAGGGTCGCTTTCCTCTTCCGAGTTCAGTGTAGCAACTGGAAAGGGGAACAGCGATGAACAGGAAGCACATGGCTGCCAGCAGGACCCGACAAAGAGACTTTACAAGCTGTGACATGAAACGACACCAATTGACCCACAAGTGCACCCTTCACAGCTATGGTACAAGGCCACAGGAGGCAGGTTCCTAGCCCAGTACCCTCTCACCATGCCCACTGGGACAGTGTGTAAACTCAAGGGGAGAACAGTCCCTATGTGCCCTGACCCCCATGTGAAGTCGGCAAGGCCATGCCTGCTCCAGCCTCAACGTGCACTGACCGCTAGAGCCAGGCCAGCTACAGAAGCACCCCTGCTGCCTGGGCAGGGGGCTGTGGGAGACCTGCCCCTGACCCCCAGCCGGGGGCTCCAGGGGAGCAGGTATGACTGTATGGGGAATCCCTGGAAGGTTCTTGGGGCTGTGCAGTGATGGGCTCCCAGGAACTCAGTGAGAGGGATCCTGGGACAGACAACAGCCCTCCCCCATGCCCCAGACTAACCTTTGGAACCAGCTGGGGCTACACCTCCTTCCCGCAGCAGGGCAGACGGGCAGCCCGGCCAGGAGGTCCAAGAACCCCAATAAACAAACAGTGGCCGTGTTGATAAAAGCTTTACTCCCTAGTCTGGAAGACACGCCCCAAGGGCTGTGGTGGCCAAGCCGAATTCCAAGAGTTGTTTTAGGTTTAACCTGAGAACCGACACTCCACAGAGAACTGAGCCATACTCGGACCTACACGGGTCTGTGCACCCCTCTTCCACACCACCCTCTTGGGATACTTGATCCCCAGGACCTCAGATGAAATCTCCCTCTGGACAGAGATGGGCTGTACCCCCAAAGGACAGCACCTCAGTTCTTAACACAAGATGCTCCCTTGGTGACAACCCACATGCTGAGCTCAGGAAGTAAATGAACCTCGCCAGCTTCTTTCGATGTAAGGTGGGCCCAAGACCACCTCCGAGTCTTAGCTCTACTAGTTGATGCTGCTCTAGGGCACTGGGGTCCAGGCCTGGGCTGAGCCAAACGGGGATACCACAGCTTTGGGCAGGGGTCCCATCAGTCACCAAACACCCCATCCTGCAAGTTCTCCTGGGCACTGTTTTCTCTGGCAGTGTCTCAGGACCAGTCACCCAACCCTCCTGCACTGCAGACAGACCGCAAGACAGAGCCTGACCCGGTTTCTCAAGGCTGGGAGCGGAGAGGGGGGGAGGGGGCAGTGGCACTTGCAGGGAGATGGCAGGGCAGGGGGTTGTCACCTTTGATCTGCTGGGGAACCAGCCCGCTCCGATGTTCAGCGAAGCTCTCTTGGGTCAACACAGCCACAGAGCTCATGGTTGGTGGCACGTGTCCACGTGTCCGGGGCAAGCACTGGGGGTGGAGGGCCGAGGAGGAAGGAGTCACAGGCAAAGCCGGCCCACCAGGCCTTGGACTCGAGGCCGAGCCTTATCCTCCAGCCATGAGCCTAGCTCTTGTCACACCAAAATGCAACAGAGAGAGGGTGTCATAGAAGCTGCAGAGGGGCGGCTTTGGGCAACCCAAGGCTTGGCAAGGGCCACAAGCCCACGGGGTCCAGCGATGCCCAGACAGGGAGCAGCTCAACCCATGTCCCAGCCCAGCCTGCTGAGCTGAAGAGCCTGGGCCATGGCCACAGCGGGGGTTGGTCTGGCCCCTGTAGTCAGGGGCTGGATGCAGGATCTGCATACTACGCTCAGTGCCCCATGGACCCCGTGGGCAGCAGCAAGGCACCTTACCAGGCTCGGGAGGCTCCTGGGCTATCTTGGCGGGACCCCTCCTCACAGCCCTTCACCTGCAGGCAGACTATGCCCACATGCCCCAGGCAAGCCTACAGAGGGCATTTTCTCAGAGGGCCCTTACTCACTTTGTCCCACACAGTGGTGGGATGGGATGAAGGGGTGAAGACTTGATGTCTAAACTCACCAGCAAAACGGTCAGTAGCCAGAAAGTCCGTCCTGAGGCGCTCGTCAGCCTGCCAGCTTTTGCTAAGGTTGGGGGGAGGAGAGAAGAGAGCATAGTTACTGTACTGCGTGGAGGTCAGCGCAGGTCACTGCCTTCTCAGCCAGACCAGAGATGGGCCTAGGCTTGAAGCTGAAGCCATCAGCTTTCAACCAAGTGGGAAAGTCAAAGCCCGACCAGCCAGACTTTCCAGAGTCGGCTTTCCCAGGGAGCAGAGGGAGATCCTCAGTGGCCAAGTCCTATGGAGCCATGGGAGTGAGATCCTCACCCTCTAAAGATCAGGGAACCCAGGCTGAAACAGGAGCCAACAACAAGCTCCCAACGCCCAGCTCTGAGCCCTCTCTGCTTTCCAGGTGACCAGAAGCCACTGTCCTCCAGCAACAGTCTAGGTGAAACTCAGGCCATTCCAGGGATAAGCCAAGGGGGTGCGACAGACCCGCAGCCCTAGAAAGCCCCCGAGGACCGCTGTGGGCAGTCACATGCTGTCCTTTGCTATCACTTCGGGTGAGTCTCTGGCTCCTTCTCACCCACCAGGACTCAGAGGCCAGATCACAACATGAGGGGAGTGGGGGTAGAGGTAGAGGGTGTGTGTGAAGCAGCTCTTCAAAGATTGAAGCCCTTTAGAAGCAATAGGAACAAGAGCACCCTAACTCTGTGCAGACAGCACCACAAAGATCCACCTGTCAGCTGCATGCTCAGGAAGGAGCAGAGACTGGG